GAACCCACGAACCGCGAGATCACGACCCAAGCGAAAGTCGGATGCCCAACCAACTAAGCCACCCAGGCGCCCCATGCTCTTACCATTTTTATTCAGCACTGTACTGCAGTCGTACTACATTGTACTGCAGGGTCTAGCCAGAGCAGTCAGGCGAGAAAAAGTAACAAAAGGTATCCAGATTGGAAAGGGAAAATCAAAACTATATTTTCATATGACATGAATTTATAAAAACAGAAAACCCTACAGAATCCACCAAAAATCAGGAAAGCTAATAAATGAGTGCAACAAATGTCCAGGATATAAGATCAACATACAAAACCCAGCTGTATTTCTATACACTGGCAATGAATAATCCAAAAGTTAAATTAAGAAAACTACTCCATTTACAGCAACATCAAAAAGAGCAACTAGGAATAAGTTTAACAAAAGAAGCTCAGACTTATACACTGAAAAGTACAAAATATCATTGAAGGATATTAAAGAAGACCTGTATAAGTGGAAAAACCTACCATGTTTGTGGTTTGGAAGACCTACTATTGATAAAATGGCAGTATTCCCCCAAATATTTATAGAATTAACACAGTCCCTATCAAAATCACAGCTGTCTTTTTTTTTTTTTTTTTTTTTTGGTAGAAATTGACAAGCAGTTCCTAAAATTCACATGGAAATGTAAGGGACCCAGAATAGCCAAAAACAATCATGAAAGGAACAGAGTTGGAGGAGTCACACCTCCCAATTTTAGAATTTACACAAAGCTTCAATAATGAAGACAGTGTGATACAGTTGGAGAGATGTGCAAATCACTGGAATAGAATTGTGAGTTCAGAAACAAACCTACATGGGGCACCTGGGTGACTCAGTTGGTTAAGTATCCAACTTTTTGTTTTGGCTCAGGTCATGATCTCACAGTTTTTGCATTCGAGCTCTGTATCAGGCCTCTGTGCTGACAGCATGGAGCCTGCTTGGGATTCTCTCTCTCCCTCTCTTTCACTTCCCCAACTCACACATGCATGCATGTGCACTTTTTCCTCTCTCTCAAACTTAAAAAAAAAAGTTAATTTAAGAAACAAATCTATACAATTATGGTCAATTGATTTTTTTTTAACTTTTCTAAAAATTTAGTGTTGAGAGAGAAAGAGAGACAGTATGAGCAGGGGAGGGCCAGAGAGCGAGGGAGACACAGAATCCAATCATGGCCTGAGCAGAAGTTGGACACCCAGCCGACTAAGCCACCTAGGTGCCCCTATATCTACGTTTATTTCTAAGAGTTTTGTAATTTTAGTTGTTAAATCTGGGTCTTTATTCCATTTTTGAGTTAATTTTTATATGTGGTGTGAAGCAGAGCTCTAACTTCATTATTTTACATAATTTGGTTATCTCAGCACCATTTGTTCAGTCAACTACTTTTTCCCTATTTAATTGTCTTGGTGCACTTGTTGAAAATCAATTGACTGGGGCACCTGGTAGCTCAGTCGGTTAAGCATCTAACCGGCTCAGGTCATGATCTCACGGTTCGTGGGTTCAAGCCCCATGTCGGGCTCTGTGCTGACGGCTGGCTCAGAGCCTGGAGCCTGCTTCAGATTCTGTGTCTCCCTCTCTCTGTCTGACCTTTCCCTGCTCATGCTGTCTCTCTCTCTCTCTCTCAGAAATAAAACATTAAAATTTTTTTAAAAATTAAAAAAAAAGAAACATAGATATAAATTTTTGTGGCTTTGGGTTAAATGATGGTTTCTTAGATATGACACCTAAAGCACAAGCAACCAAAGGAAAATAATAAATTGAACTTCATCAAAATTTAAAAACCCTTATCAATTAAGTAAAAAGATAACCCACAGGGAGAAAATATTTGCAGATCTTGTATCTGAAAAGAGTAGGTAGTATCCACAATATGGAAATAACTATTACAACTCAATAATAAAAAGCCTACAAAATAAAAAGAACTACAAATATTTTATTATATTAGCCTTTCTATCCTAACAAGGTCTTTTGCAGAACAAAAGCTTTTAAGTTTGAGCAAGTCCATTTTATTGATTTTTTTTTCCTTCAGTTGCTTAGGCTTTAGCAGTGATATCGTGCTTTTGGTGATATCCAGCTACGGATATCCGATTGCTCCAATACCGTTTGTTGAAAAGGCTGTCCTCTTGCCATTGAAATGCTTTTGTACCGTTGTCAAAATAAGTTGGCTATCTGATAAGGATTTGTGTCTAGAATATATAAAGAACTCTTACAATTCTATAATAAAAAGAAAAATAACCCAACTAAAAAAATGGGCAAAGAATTTTGAACAGACCTTTCTCCAAAGAAGATACACAACAGGCCAATAAGCACATCATTAGTCATTAGGAAAGTGCAAATCAAAACCACAATGAGATTACCGCTTAATACCATCTAGGATGGCCATAATAAAAAAGACAATAAAAATAACCTGATGATATAGAGAATGGAACCCTCATACACTGCTGGTAGGAATATGAAATGATGTAGCCATTCTGGGAAACAAAGAGTTTAGTAATTCCTCAAAAAGTTAAATATTAGAGTTACCATATGACCTAACAATTATTTCTAGATATATGCCCAGAGAACTGAAAATTCATGTTACTTGTTTAGAGTAGAGCAACATTATCCATAAGAGCTAAAAGGTAGAAACAATCCAAGTAGCCATCAACTAATGAATGGATAAACAAATATGGTATATCCATAATACTATTTAGCCATAAAAGTAAATAAAATATTGATTCATGGTACATGAATGAACCTTGAAGGCATTGTGCTAAGTGAAAGAAGGCAGACAAAAAAGACCACTTATTGTATGATACCGTTTAATGATTTCCATTCCATTCTGGAAATGACCAGAATAGACAAATCCATCAAAACAGAAAGTTGATTAGTGATTGCCAGGGACTTTGGAGAAGATGGAATGGCGAGTGACTGTTTATGGGTGTGGGCTTTGGGAGCATGGAATGAAATGCTCTGGAATTAGATAGTGGTGATGGTCGCACAACTCTGTGAATATACTAAAAACTGCTTAATTGTATTCTTTAAAGGGATGAATATTATGTGAAATATATCTCCATTATTAAAAAGGTATGAGAAGTTACAGTGGACAAGCAGTCTGTTGTTGAAATACTGTTAAGTGCAAAATAGGACCTATAAAGTTGTAAAATTAGTTTAGCCCTTCATGGAACCTCTAAAAAGTCAGATCTAAGGCTTTTTCTCCCTTGGCTTTTGGTCACTTTTGGCACTTAATTCAGAATTTATCTTTTTTTTTTTACAGGTGACTATGGTTTTAGAATTTGTTTAACAACATAATAGCACATTATAACCATTAATTGTAACTCCATTTTAAAAAGGCTATAAATCTAATTTTGGATCCTAGAAAAATAAGCAAATTAAAATGAGTGGCTTGTCCAACTTCTTGCCCTTTGGTGGGATCAATGCTGAATCTCCACAGGGCAGAGCCAGCAAGCAGTCCTGACCCTGTTTCCCTCCCTGTGCTGGGAGGGAAGCTGGGTGTGGCCACAGGAGAGCCTATTTGTATAGGCTACCAGATGGGAACATCATTTCCTCTTTTAAGCAGAGGACCAAAAAATCACCCCCAAGGCTGGAACTGCTAGTTTCTAATCTTGACCCACAGAGCTGGTTCTCAGTCTTCCTCCCGAGGTCAAAGATGGGCTTAACGATAGTGCTTCCATCACGAAATTTAAACATAAATAAAAACAACTGATATTGGTAGACTGCCTTACTGCCGCCTCAGCTCTGCGCCCAGTCTGAACTGATGACAGTGAGGCAGGTGGTGTACCCACCATACAGATGAAGGAACAGAGCTTGAAGGGTATCATGATGACAGAGGTTCCAAAGCTAGTGGGTGTCTGAACCAAGGCCAGCTGTCTGTCCTTCCTTGTCCCCTGCTCTCTGGCTGTCTTCATGGGAAGTCTGAATCTGGGAAGATAGTTATCCATTCTCCTCCTCCCTGAAGATCCTGTCTGCTGCGTACACAAGGCCCCTGAGAGCTCCCCATAGAAGGGTGTTGGAAAACCAACATTCACAGCTCTAGTGACAGGGCACCAAGAGCCACGTGTCCTATAACATAACCTAAGAAGACACTGGGTTACACATTATAGGTTAAGAAATAGGCAACAGGGAAGCCATCAGTGGGATGGACAAGAAATGGTGATGGTTGAATTAGGATCCCTGGAAATGGACAGGGAAGCAAGCAGGGAGGAGTTCAAACTTCGGGCAGACTAGTACAGCAGCACATCAGTGCAACACACCTGGGTCCCTAGCCAGCTCTGGCCACTCACCAGGGTGGCTCTGAGCCTGTTTTCTCACCTGTAAAGTGGGTATATGCAATAGTACTTGATGTCCGTGGACACTGGTATGTACCCAAGGACTATGGCTGGAAGTGAAGGCCTCTTTCCAGGCAGTGGAGCCTAGCCACCTGTCAGAAAGTGAGTCTGGCCCCATCTGTGTATTTTCATAAATTTAACTATAGAAGCTCTTTTATGACTTTATATATGACAAAGACGTGGACACGGCAGCACGTAAGTGAGGGGCCCCAGGAACTATAAAAAGCACGTTACTGCAGGCTAGGCCATGGTTTAGAGTTTCTACGTTGTGAAGACCAAAGGAGGGCTCCAGGGGCTGCGCTGAGCGGGCACAGCACTCCCTGGCAAAGTCAGCCCCTCCCCCACCACAGGAAAATCGCTGTATGTTCAGCCTATGTACTGAGAATAGACCTAAGTCAGACTTCTGAGTACTGAAGTAAGGGAAGCTGCCTCTTGCTGTCTTCTCCTGTCTGCCCTCCATCTTGAAGGTATGTGACAGGAAGAGCAGGAGACTCTTCTTCAGAAGACCTGGCCCAGTCAAGCCTGCTTCTTTCACTTAAGGAGTTGTGGGACCTTGTAAGTCCCTTCAAATGGCTGGCTTCCGGGGCCTGCACTTTACTTTGCGGCCTGCGGGAGTATTTAGCACCTTACCTAATATATGAATTTGTCTTTCAGCTCTGTGCAGTGTGTCTAGAAGACTTCAAGCCTCGAGATGAATTGGGCATTTGTCCATGTAAACATGCCTTTCACAGAAAGTGAGTACTGGTGTGGAATTATTTTTTTTAGCGTTTATTTTTTTGAGAGAGAGACAGAGTGCAAGCAGGGGAGGGGCAGAGAGAGAGAGGAAGACACAGAACCCGAAGCAGGCTCAGGCTCTGAGCTGTCAGCACAGAGCCCAACACAGGCAGGGCTTGAACTTAGGAATGGCATGATCATGACCTGAGCCAAAGTTGGACGTTTAACCGACTGAGCCACCCAGGCGCTTCTGGTGTGGAATTATTTAAAGGGACCTGAATTTGAGCCACATCAAGCAACTTATTTGTGGGCTTGGAACAGTGCCAGACAAGCTTGACAGCTTCATGATTGGTCTGTAATGCAGCAAGCTGAATGCATCCTGTGGGGTGAGGTAGGTGTGTGTTGGGGGGGCGGGGGGAGTGAGGTAGGTTGTGTGCACGCGCGCGCGTGTGTGTGTGTGTACGTACGTACACGTACGTGACATTAGGAGGGACCAGGGTGGTGGAACATGACCACCAGGCAGGACTTTGGGCAGAGGGCCAGATGAGCCCACACCTCCTTAGAGCTCACTCCTTAGAGCTCAGGCTATAAACAGCTACTTCAGTGGAATTTTCCGAGAGGTTCTATTCCTAAAAACTTATTTTAATCAAAACCATAGTTATTTTAAATCAAAATAAAGTGTGAATGTAAATGGTAGTGTGAGGCTATCTCTTATGCCAACATACTAATATTCCCCCTTCTATCACAACTTTTTCGTCTTTTCTGTTAAAAATTTATTTCCCCTACTTCTCACCATCCTCCTCAGTGTACTTCATCCTTTAAGAAGTCATGGATGATTTGCGGGTATAGCATGCTGTGGCTTCTTCATATCACCTTTTAGATTAGAGGGTCTGGTTCCTCCAGAGAATAAAAGGCATTCTCCATCTGCTGATGGAGCTGCTTGGGATCTGATCACACCAGCCCCCACCCCGCTAGAGGGGCAGATATGTTTAACCCATGAGGCATCTGGGCAGGGGGCGCCATAAGCCCGGGACTGACATCTTCCTCCTGTGTTTTCTCATCCTCCAGGTGCCTTATTAAGTGGCTGGAGGTTCGGAAAGTGTGTCCACTGTGCAACATGCCAGTTCTGCAGCTGGCCCAGCTGCACAGTAAGCAGGACCGTGGACCCCCGCAGGGGCCCCTGCCCGGGGCAGAGAACATTGTATAGTTCCCCCAAAGATCAAACTGCTGTGGGATCCAACGTCCATGTGGAGCCAGGAGGAACACAAGCAGTCTGTGCGTTGGCTGCTCTACCTGGGGCACCAGCTGCCACTTCCTTTGCCTCATGAAGAACTCGGGCCAGCTAAGCTGGGAAGCCAGACTGCTGGGTCTTGTGACAACCAAAGCACGCTGACACTACCCCATGCCAAGAGGAGAGGAGTAGATGATGGATAACCCTTCTGGTTACGTTCAAGAAACTTCACGAGGGTCTCTTGCTGATGCCATTACTGTCTCCCAGATACTTCTCTCCATGTCAAGGTGAATCTTTATGAAGCAGAAGGGAAGATAGAACTGTTAGAGAAGGGAACTGAGGGCAGGTCTTTAAAGCCATCCCCGCCCCCTACCCTGTGGACAGATGAGCTTCTATGCAGACCGTGCATGCCTTTGCAGCAGCAGACCCTCCCGGCAGTCCCTGAGCCAAGTAAAACCAGCGGTTACCTCAGCTGAAGCACGACTGGTTGCCAGTGATTGGTGAGGCAGTGCCAACAAGGCTTTTCACATTATGTTCCTTTGATAAGGTCATCTTGGAACCCAAGGGCTTTGGTTACCACAGAGCAGCAGTGCCCCCTCGCCACTCCTCCTCCCTCAAGTTCACGACACTTGCTTATCAAATCATCTAAACACATTAGATGTGCTTGGAAAGGCTTGGTCAGAAGTCATTTCCTCTTATTTCCCCCCCAACTCCCCAGTGAGGCCCAGCCAAGCCGCCCATCAGGAGCCCCAGCAGGGGTTGGGTCTGAGTCCCACTTGTCCCTGTGTGACCCATGGGGCCCCAGGGTGCTGCCCACACCCCCATACAGTGGGGTTCCAGTGCAGCTGCTGGTCTTCGCCCACTGCCTCAGTAAGGAGCTGCTGTGAGCCCCTCAGACCACTCCCAAGGGAAGATTCTTCCTGAGAATGGCCAGTCCTCACGGCCCTGCTGAGAGGATGCTGACCCCTTGACTCTCCCCACTCTTTCCCTCTGTTCCCTTACCCCTCTTGCCATGTTTCTACTTAAGGGAAAATGCCTGTCATTGACTTTTTAACAATTTAAAGCATCCCAAATAAGATCTTTATAGAATTCTGAAGCCGGGGATCCACTTGAAATTGTAGGTAGTTTCAGGAAGCTCCTGTAGGGCTGTTCACCCATTGGCGTGTGCCTCAGTGTCCAGACTTGCGATAAGTAATTGAAAGTGTCTTTATAGGAGAGAAATGCATGCTGCTCTTTGGCTCTTTCTGTCCAACTTTTCTAGGGGCGACAAGTCCATTTGGATTCATGAATACTGTATAAATTTGCTATCTGAAGTGGCTTTGGGTTAGATAGAAAGTTCTTTTCCACGGCACTGTGCTTTTCCACCTCCTTCTGTTATAGGGTGGACTTGTCAGCAGCGTTGCCCCTGCTCCATTCCCCAGGTGTGAGTGAGGACAGTTTCTCATTGGACATGTGGCCTGCATGGTATGGAGAGAGAATGAAGCTTTACTACTCTGTTTATGGCAGGTCTCCAGGGACTTTTTTTCTGGATTCGTCTCTACCATCTTAGAATGGGCAATAGAACCTGTCCTTGGCTCAGATGGCTGGGGTCAGATGAGGAGGAAAATTCCCATTAGCCTAGGAAAGTGCTGGACAAAATCCAGATGGGAAAATTACAAATCCAGTGGGTCAGAATTGGCCGTTTTCCTTCCTCCGCGTGACCTATTCATGGCACGCCAACTGGCTGCTGCTGCAACGGGGCAAGGAAGTGTGGGGTATTTTTATATGAAAGCCTCAGCCTGTTGGGCATCTTGAGAACTTTTCATATGCTTCTACTTTCACCATTTCGGCGTTGTGTTGGTAGCACAATAGAGTTGAATGCTGCAAGTCACCCAGTTTCCAGTGACCAATATCAAAAGGAGGCCTGCTTCTGGACTAGCCTCATTTGTGGCCAACACTCACCATTCTCCATGGAATGGCCTTGGAACCAACCTCACCTTGTTGTTAATGGGGTTCCAACAGGAAAGAGAATTTTTCCCCTCAAGAATTCTCGTGCTCTAAAAACTGCAAGATCTCAGCTCCTGGCTTTGGCAGGATTATAACTGGTCAGTTGCAGCTTTCTTCTGTCCCTGTACGTGTAGGTAGATTAGTTCATTTCCCCATATCACAGGAAGGGCAAGCTGATGTGGTTGGTGCATAGCTCTGGCCATTAGAGGAAAGCTCCAGAATGCTGTGCACTCTGCATTGGGCACCAACCCCCACAAGGTGCCACCAACATGAATGATCTCAACACCTGTGAATGCAGAGGGCTTTTTAAATGCAGCCCTTTCACCAGGGTGGAGTGGTGAGTGTTCACTCCACTCACCATCATCTCCTCTCTTAGCTCAGTGTCCCACTGCAGCTCAGCCAGTGTCACTCAGAGTAGCAGTTCCTGCCACTCTTAGGACAACCTGTAGGACACCTGGGTGGCTCAGTGGTTAAGCAGGACAACCTGAGTGCACTTGCTCCCCACATCTGGGTCCTCCTCCAGGACTCTGTGCTGCACTGCCATTACTGCGAATGGCAAGGGCTTAATTTACATCTTCCTTTAATTCTGATTAAAACACAGTTGTCTGTGGACAAGGTTAAATCTTCATCTGAACTTCTTAAAGAATGAGTTAAGGATCCCCTAATACTCTTGCCACAGGCTCACACCTTACATTGAGGCCATCCTGGCCATGTCTCTCTTTTGTTGGTAAGTTGTTGAACTTCTGTTAATCTGTAGACACGTGGGGACTTTGGTGCTCTTGGGCCAGTGGCTGGTGACATGGCAGGTTTGTTTTTTTTTTTACTTTGTCTTAATGTGTCTTAAGCAGCTTAGAGATTGGATGTTACTTGTATGCTGTGGGTTAAAAGAACATAATTCCGCCCCAACCAAATTCCAGGGGGTAGCTGCGTCATTATCTAGTTGTTGCTAAGGGTACAGCTGAATTCAGGTGGCTTTAGAAACAGGGAACAAAACCAGCCTGACTTGATTTCTGATTAAGAAGGCATAAGACATTGTCATCTGTCGTTTCTCTTTGCCAGTGTGACTTGGTGGGACCTGTCCCTGGCAGGTAAGGTCCTCGTAGCCTGTGCCCACCAATGCAGGGAGCAGGACTAGACAGAAATGGCCAGATGATAGAAGGTCCATGGGGGAAGTCTGAGCTGAGGAATACAGGGAACATTCCATCATTGCCTGTTAGCCTGTTCTTGACACATCTTGACAATATAAGATCCTTTACACCAGTGCCAAGTCCCTTGGACCTATCAGAGGACCAATTTGTCCCTTTCTACAGCCCCACTCCAAAGCCTGCCACATGTGTGACCTGGTCCTGCTCTAAGCTGTTCTGAACCGTAATAACTATTTTTCTGAAAGGCTTTTTGAGAATTATGAAGTGAACACAGGGAGGCATCCCCAGAGCTCTGGACAGAACAAGTGCTGAGTGATTTGAATCATCCCTTGCCATTCACCAGCCATGTGTCTTTATGCAAGTTAACCTCCCGAAGCTGGTTTCCTTATCTGTCATCTAAGAATTCTAACATTTTTGCTGGCTCTCGCGAGGACCATACTGTCCAAAGCCTGGTAGGCAGTAGGCCTGGGGTTGTGGAAGCTCCTAATTATAAGCAGGATCATGGCAGTTATGCAGGGCTCCTCTGTAGTTCAGGTAGAAACAAAACCTCAGCAAGAGCCGCCTGAAAGACAGGGGCTCCCTTGGGGTGGGGCCTGTGTTTGCCTGGGTCCCTTCCTTTTCCTCACCTCATCTTGCATAGTCCCCTCCATCTATTTAGCTTTCCCTATAATGCTCCTTGGCAGCTATTCCTTAAGTTTTTGAAGAGGTAATCCCTTCATATAATTCACAAATCATACTTTTACTTGCATCCCTAAGCTAGCAAGCCCAACTTATTGCCCCTTGAACACCCACTTATAGTATGTTCCATTTATACATAAACAGGGATTACACACGTGTATACATCTTTTCTCCTTTTTTTACTCATGTGATACCAGACCAGTATATCAAGGAGCATTTCTATTCATGGGGGAAGAGCCATCCCAGAAGTCAGAATATCTGTAAAAGGTGAGCCCATAATTGGAAGTTATTTTTGCAATCGCATTCCTTTTTGAATAAGGCATTATTTTTTATTGATTGCAGCATACTAAAATTCTAGTTTTCCATACAAAGCAGAAACAGCAATCCCTCCCTGACCCTTGCCAGATACTCAGATAGTATGAGAGCACAACCAGTTTCCAGACTGTGCACAAGGACAGTCTGGTCTGTGACAGGACACCCAAGAGCAGGCTCTGCTGTGTTGCTGAGAACAGCAATGCAAGCCTCTCTCATCCAGATCCAGCAGCCTTTGTACCCTCTGCCCCCTCTTTCCCCCCCTGCCCAGCCCTATCCGAGGAGGTGATATCTGGCTACAACTGCCATGATTTCTTAGACGAATTCTTGTGTTTCTGAGGCAGGAGTCTGATAAGCAGCAGCAACTGAAGCCTGAGGCATCCTTCTGTTTGGGGGACAGATGTCTCAGATGATGCTAAGCAGGTAGGTGGTCGGTCTCCTCAAAATTAACCATAGATATACACACTTCAGCGTCCATGTTCAAGGTCCTGGCTCTGCTCCCTTTCGCTCCCCACTCTTTATACACACCTTAAAAAGAAAATGCTTGCCACAGAATTCTTTCCATTCAGCAACAGAAATTACCCTACCAGTCAATCATCTTTTCTTTAAAGAAAAAAAATGTCTTACAAAGCTGCTTCTTTCAGGCAGTCCTAGAGGGAGGGGCATAGACTCCTGCATTCTGGTTCTCACCCATTTCCCTGGTGTCCTGACTCCCAGAGCAGCAGCCCAGGGCTGAAACTTGAAAGTGTATGTGAAATGCCATCCTTCTCACTTGAGTATCTGGCCCTGGGATAGAAAGTCTTTCATATCAGGTATTACTAGTTTCTGACGTAAAAGAGATGAATGTGTCTAAAATCACGTCTAAATTCTGGTGAAATCTGCAGTTGTTAACTGGAAGTCGTTCTTTAGTAGATCAACGAAAGATCTCACATGTCACGGGCTGTGCTTCCATTTGAGTGGGAATATCATGAGAAAAATAGGCTTGTTCAAAAAATTTAGTTCACCTTTATAGCCCAACTCGCTGCAAAATGCAGATAGTTTTGTTCCACTTTTAGACCAAGCATTGCACCCTTGCTTACCAATCCAGTGCGCACTTCTGTGGCTTTTGGGGCAGGGAGACTACCCTCCCTGCTCTAGGGACATGGACCTAGAATGTGGTCCCCACCAGTTTCAAGGGACCGGTCTGTACTTTGGTGAAGCTCCTCTCAGCAACCTGTGCCTGCATTTGGGCCAGCCGCACACTGCCCCTCCCAGGCCGCGCTTGAGCAGGTGGCTACGTGGGGCCAGTGTTAGGGAAGCTCCTCCTGGAGAGAGCCTGGTCTTCCAAGAGTATTCCTGGTAACTGTCATCTGGGTTTCTTGACATCATTGCCAGGAAGGAGGGGTAGTTTAGTCTTGTAGTTTAGCGCACTGGGGTTGATTCACTAGATATTGTATAACTTCCCCCCCCAAAAAAAAAAAAAAAAAAAAAAAAAAGGTTTATGAAATTCTGAGCCTCGGGTTTCATAGACGTGTTTGTACACTAAGAATTCTGCAGCAGAATATTTTTAAACATTCGCAGTTTTTTGTAAGCTATATTTTTGTATATTTAATTGCTATTTTAAAATTTTAATGCATTTTTTGCTAATTACTCCTGTTTTAAAAACAAAATATGCATGTAATTAACCTAAATGTAAGTAAAAAGCAAGTTTTGAAAATACTTTGTGTTGAGCATGTACCCTTCAACTCAGGAGGGGCCTGAGGTCACCTACACCCCTCTTAAGCCTGTGTAGCAATGGAAAAGTCAAGGTAAGTGGCTCTGATCAAAATGAGCTGGTCGATGGCAACATGTGATTGTGATGAAGGAGCTTCTGGCCTGCACCCTCCAGTGGGGTGGGGTGCAGGTCAGGGGTGAGGAGCAGAGCACCGGGTCACATTGAGGGAGGAGGCAGCCAAGGACCCACCTGCCCGCAACCCCCCCCCCGCGCCCCCCCACCCCGTTCCCTGGCCTCAGCACTGCAGATGCCACTGGACACACCAGCAGTCTCACAAATTCAGGAACTAGTGCTCCAGGGAGTTCAAGTGGTGGAACTAGCCCACCTCCCACCCTCTAGCTACATCTCAGGCTTGGAAATACCAACTATTCTGTTAGGAGGAAAAAAACAACTAGACTCCAAAGTCATCCTGTGGTGACTACTATTTCTCCTCACCACCCCTCACGAGGACCCCTGCAGGTCAGCTCTGGCCCCATAGCTTGGGGGAACTGTCCCCTCAAGGCCATCCATGACCCTGCAACAAACCTGGACAACTTCTTAAACCTCCTCTGAACGCAGATCCCTAGAGAAATCCTCTCCCTCAGGCCCCACTAGCCCCTTCTCAGACCACTGTCTGCAGCCTCTTCCTTCTCTGCCCATCTCGTTATTCTCACTCCACCTTCAGTGTCACTAAATTCCCACCTAGCTACACTTCATTTGCAGGTCTGTAATCTCCAACCCAAATATTCAGCTGCCTTTTTGGTATCAAAATCACAGTCCAAAACCAAGCCTCCCAACAAGCCTGGGTGCCTTAGACTCCCCTCCCCACTATCCAGTCACCACATCCCAGTCCTCTAAGCCTTTGGCTACTGCTCCGATCTTGGTTTAGGCCACCTTCCTTTCCCAGCTGGGCCATAACCACAGCCACCCACACAGACACACACTGCCTCTAGTGTGGGAGGAAGGGGGTGTGGGGAGACCCTCAGGCTACCTCATGGAGGGCAGACTGGAAGGGACGCTGCTGGGAGGGGACAGTAGCTTCCACCAGGGGCTGGCAGTGGTGCCAGGAGACGGAGTTTACATGCATCTCACAAGCCAGAGGTAGTGAAGTAAACTGGGATCAGGCTCCGGGAAGAGAATGTGGGCAACTCCTGTGCAGAGATGGCCTTGGGGACACACACTGTTAAGATGGGAAGGCAGTCACTGCCCTGGGGCTACAACTCAAAGGCAAGGGCTGAGAGGGGCCGCTGCCTTGGAAATCAATGTCCAGGGCTGACAACCGCTTAGGGAGGTCCAGAATTACACCCGGGGGCTGGCAAGATCTGTCCTCAGAGAAGCAGTGGCCTGGGAGGCGAAAGAACAGCAAGAGAGGTCTGCTGTGTTAGAACTGAAGAGGAGGACCTGAAATGTCCATTAGACTTAGTAATGACCCACTGGTGACTGATGAGGCACCCTCCCAGGTAGTGACAGTGTGGGCTGGGCACAAAGTGCAGAGGAGTCACAGAGGCGGCCTCTCAAGAGCAGGAAGTGGCAGGGATGCAGAAACGGAAGGTGAACATTAGGCGGGAAGGGGCTCTGCCCAGGTCTTAACTGTGTGACCTCGGGCAGGTTTGTTCCTGTTAAACTGCAGGGTAAACAAACGCTGCATGAAACCAGCCATGTAAGCACTGGTCACAGCCTCATGAGCACAGTACGTGTGGGGAGAGCAGGGGACCCCAGCACAGGAGGCTGGGTCTCCAACGGAGAAGGAGGCTCCCTCCCTCCCCTTCCTTCTCTGGAGAAGAGCGGGGGGGGGGGGGGGGAATGCACCAAGGGCTCCCAGGAGCACGACTGTATATCAGCGGCTGGGTAGTGACATGGTCTTTCATGGCCGTAGGGAAGGTGAAGCCACCAAGCGCTGAGGGACAAGATTAGAGATGACTCAAGCTGAGGACAAGGGCCAGCAGCAGAAGAGAGGCTGACTGGCTCCTGGGAGCCACAAGTCCCATTCCCACAGTTCCCTCCAGCTCTGCTGGCCTGCACCGGATTGACAGCGCACATAACCCAATGGTGCCCATGGGCATTAAGGGGCGCCTTTGAGAAATGGCCACTCCCTGCCCTCGGTCCCAGAGATGGCACGTGCCTCTGCTGCCCCCACGTGGCCAACACAAAGGGTGCCGAGGGATCTGACCTCCTCCTTTGGTGACCCAGCCTTGCCCTGCACCCTGAGAACCTTTCCCTCCAGGTCCCCGCCAGGCGCAAGGAGGCTACAGAGCCTGGGGGTTTCCTTCTAGTTCAAAGGCTGCTTTATACAGACTCTTCATGTCCTTCAACAGAGATGCAGGCACAAAAATACACAAAATAAGACTCAAACAATGCTCTATCTGCAAGGGGAAGGGTTTTTAAATTTATTCTGCACAGCAGAAAGAAAATAGTTTATGTCAATCCTACCAAGACTCCATCTTAAATCTCTACCAAGACTCCTCAAGCCACCTTCTGAGCCACACACGCTCAGAGCCTCCCGGCCTGGCAGCTTCTGGCAAGCAAAACCCGAGCGGGAGGGGAAGGCAGAAGTACCACACCCTGCACCCCCAGGAGTTAATCAACAGACTTCAATTCCTCACTTTCTACCAACCCGAAACAACCACAGTCTCCCTGATTCCCTGAAAATGTCCATTCGAGAGGTCTGGTTTTAGTCTTCCAGGTGCACTTTTTCTTCTAGCTTAATTCACTTCTGTCAAAATTACCTCCTACCCACCCACCTCCACCAAGGAAATTCTTCCCAGGGTAGATGAAGTCCCATCTTTCCAGATACACCTTCCCAGAATCTGTAGTGTTGGGTAACCTGGAACTGACCTTCTACAAGTTGCTTGCTCAGTTGCCAAAATTACAAGTACAGAATTACTCTCCCCAATCAAGTTTGCGGAACCTTAAATAAAACATGTTTTTCGGTATGTTCACACAAAGGCGAAATGAACACCAGAGTTAATGCACAGATAATGATCTCCAAGGCCATAGTGACAACATTGTGATTAGATTACAACATACAGTACTTGCCTTACATTTAGCAAGTTCAACAGGACACAAAACCAGTCAGCTGAACACAGAACAGCTCTCCCCTGAAGTGGCTCCCAGTAAGTGACACTGAATTTCAAAAACACATGGCAGGTTTAACAAAGCTATACTGAAGAGCAACTTAAATACAGCAAATGCTCACTGCCGTGGACATGGCCAGCTTTTTGTATATGTATCCTTCCTTACTGGTTACTAGTTTAGACTGAATTCTTAAGGATTTATCTCGAGGACTTAGAAAAATACACTCATCCTTCCTTGCTTTGATTTGGGTAGTACACAATCAAAATCGAGTAAGTCTCTTAAGAAACAAAAGTTCACAGATCCCATTGTGCCATGTTCCAGGAACCCCTCCCCAGGTGATCAGGGGATCTTCAACAGCTCAAGGAGTGCTCCAACGGCTCCAAAATAACCCTGGAAAAAAAGTACACCAAAAATGAGAGCAATTTTCCGTAGACTTATTTAAATTACCATAAATATGATCACTAGTGTTAAAGCCAACAGTGCCCTTAATTCCTGATACTGAGCACCTATACCACTGAGCCCAAGGCTAGCACAGGAGCAGGGAAGCTCCGAGGAGCTCCCGGGCTGGGGACGAGGGCTAGATGTACAAAACACCCAAGGAATGTCTACATGGGGCACCAAAACCCACGGTAAGGGCTGCAGGGGCTATGAGGCTGCTGGTGGCTCCGTTCCCTCTGGGCTGTCTCCTGCAGGAGGAGGACCTGAGAAGCAGCAGAGGCCCGGAGCATTTCCAGAAACTAAGGAAAGAAGGCAAGATAGGACCTGAAGATCAGCAGAGCAGAAAGAGCTGGGGGGGCAGGGGCAGGTCACAGAGGGCGAGGGCCTGATTGGGCTGGGCATGGAAGGGAGACCAAGAAGAGAGTGGGACGGACTCCAGACCTGCCGGCCGGAAGGGGAAGGGGAAGGGGGCAGCAGGGAGGCTTAGGTATCCCCCACGCATCTGGGGAGAGCCACAAGGATACAGGAGCAAGAGATGTGGCAAGCAAGGAGGGCTCCCATACAGCACGTGCAAGGCCAGGGTGCACCAGGCAGCCAAGCAGCCACACCCAGGAAGTAACTGGATGTCTGTATCTGGGCAGCAGAGGAGTGGACAATCGTGCCCTAATGTGACATGAAGAGGGGAGCACAGACAGAAGAGCACCATGTGAAGAGCAACAGGAGAACCCTGAGGGAGAGCAGAGGCATGAGAGCGCGCGACAGCAGCTGAAGGACAATGTGGGACCATCTCCAGAAGTTAAGCAGTTGAGATCAAATACAACCAAGACATTAAAACCCAAAAACAGACAAGAAAAAGAAAAGGATTGACTGTAACAGAAAAATGAGACAAAACCCACACTGGTAAGAAGAGAGTGCCAGCGGGCATCAGAGAACAGTCCTACCATGGTACAGAATCCGTCAAGATCTCCAAAGGATGAGATGACACAGCAGAGTCCTTTAAGAAAGACAAAAATGACTGAAAAGGAAAGTGGGAAGATCCTGGAAAACTTGCTTACAGATTGCAAAGAACATGCTAACGGTCTCTAAATATCATAAATCACTGAGGTCCACTCCATTTTCCAAGGAGAGCTTCTTCAAGACACATGTGGCCACACAAAAGAGAAGCTTAAGCCTCTCCTCACTGTTTCTTGGTTTTAAAAACAGGCAGCCACATGATGAGTATCCTCAGAGGGCGCCCACAAATGCAGAGCAGGCAGAGGGTAGGCGCTCACTTTAGGAGCTGGCTATGCGCGGTTTCAGGTGGCCTTCTGTATCTTTTATTTTGCACCAAAAGAAGAGATGAAGTTAACGGTTTTAATGAGCTCCACTGAAGACCCAAGACCCAAGCAGAAGGTGTAAGTTGTTACAAGCTACAAAATGCTAAGATGAGAACAGCAAAGGCGACAGAAGGTAGAGAGGAATCTATATTAAAACTTTCATAATAGTTAAACCCACTTCAGTGTTAAAAGCAGATTCCAAGACTCAGAGAGCCTAACACATCAAAGTTCCACAAGTGCAGCGATCAACACTGGGGCCAGAGGGGGTCAGAGGCGTCGATGCAACTGGAAAAGGGCCAGCACAGCCAGCAAGCCGAACGAGAAGAAAATGAAGCCAGCGGTCAGTAAGAATGACAAAATGTAAAACCAGGATTCTATAAAGTGTTCAAATTATAACTTTTATGGTGTGAAGATTAAAAGAAAAGTTAACCTAAGAAAATGAATCTCCACGTTCTGCCTAGGAATAGGTTCAAGAGATAGACAGAAAGAACAGGAGGAAAGTTATGCTACGATACAACAGTAAATAGGGTTTCTATTCTAACATAAAGCAAAATAAAACAGGTCAAGAATCATAAAAACCAAGATACATATAAACGGTATAAGAAACTTAATGATAATTTGGTACCAATTTATTAATAACATTAAAAGTAAGAACTGTTTAAGCGTGCAAATTTACAGGCAGCAAATAAGCCAGAGAGATCTCATGCACAGCAGGACAGCAGAGCCAGTAATAACGCACATCATTACACCAGGCCAGAAGTGTGGCTGCGCCAGCGACCACCTCACGGCACATAAATGTATCAAAGTGCCTCGCTGTAAACCTTAAACTTACGCAATGTTCCATGTCAAATCTATTCAATTAAAATTTGTTTAATAAACAGATGACTAAACTTTAAGCTGTGATAAAGGTAATTTGTGCACCTTAAATTTTAACAATGAACTTAAGGGTACTTAAACAGGAAAAACCTAGAGCAACCTGAAAGGAAAAAGCAATCCCTACAGCACTTCAAATCTTATTCTGCCGATTCCTAGAAATGCTGTTAGGTAAATATGCACAACCAATTCTGAAAAATGTTTGTGACAGCACTAAGATGCAACAACATTGGAAATAAATAGTTCAAATGCCCCACAACCAAGAGGACAAAAGAGGTTCCCCTCCACAGCTATGATTCTATTTTTTTCCCCAAACTGGAAAAACAGAAAGGCACTTTCCCATAGAGAATTTCAAGTTGAACAATTCAATGATTCTCTTCCATTCTGTCATTTCTAGCCTGTCTAGGTGTTAAGTTCTTATAACAGTGTGGTTCTATCTTGGAACGTATTTTTCTGTTTGTTTTTAGAACATACATCTTAAGTGGCACGTGAACTGTATCAATACACAAAAGCCGATATCAAAATGAAAAAAGCAGAACACAGAGTAAGTGCGTTTACAAAGTGCAATGGGAAAAACATAAAGGATGGCTCAGAAAAAAGTAACATTAGAAATATAGGTGAATGTTCATCAAGGTGTTTTTTTTTTTTCTTTAAAATTGCTGACATTCAGGGGCACCTGGGTGGCCCAGTCAGTTAAGCATCTGACTCTTGATTTCAGCTCAGGTCATGATCTCACAGTTCATGAGACTGAGCCCCATGGCGGGCTCTGTGTTGATAGCACAGAGCCTGCTGCTTGGGATTCTCTCTCTCCCACTCTGTCCCTCCCCAACTTGTGTGTGCACTCGCTTGCTGTCTTAAAATAATGAAATAAACATTTTTTTTTAGTCTTTAAAAAAACTGCTGACATTCACAGTTAACCAAAAATTTCCCTTGCATTAAATCAGGTAAGAAGTTGCTTTTGAACGTTACAAAGTAAACCCTGTTTCATACATCTACAAAAAATTACGCAAGAACTGCACTGCAGTCCACTTCACATCTACTTCAAGTTCCAATGCGGTGGGAACTGCATGCCCTTTACACTTGTAACACATCACAAGAAATAAATTTGCTTACCTCGTGTTCCGAAAAAAGTGCTTTCAACTGCCCCTTGGACCAATAATCCAAAGCATATGCCAAAAGTCGCATGGCGATCGTATTAATTCTCAAGAAATTTCCAACAAATACCACCTGGTTAATATTCTGAGCACATTAAAAAAAGGTAATTAGTTTTCATCTTAATTTCTGTTCTCTCGTAAAAGCTACCCCAAACAGAGCACCATGTGCATAGATTTTAGCAGCAACTTGACTGCTGAGCAAAAAATTTTTAAAGTATTTACATTTAATCCAGTTGGTCCAAGGCTACTTAAATTAGAACCCAGACAACTCTGGACCCACTTCAAACCATGTCAGAAAATGTCACAAGAGAATACAAATTAGGGAAAACATTTGTATTAAATATGACAAATAACTCCTATTAGAAATCTTATACAGAGAAGTAAAAAAAGACCCCATTTCAAATGAAGGAAAGTGACACAAATAGGCAAATTATACATGAAATATAAGAGTCAAAACTTCAACCTCAACAGTAATCAAAGAAAATAACATTTTAAACCTACTAAAAGCTGGCAGAACAACTAACTAGAACATTCCACCCCCAGCGGGAGCCAGGTTGTGGTAACACCGATCCATTCCTTCACTGCCTAAGAGATCTAAGTTAGTGCAGCCCGGTGCAAAGCATCTGGGCGGCTCCTAGCGAACCGCATAAGCACGGTTGTATTCTCTACGTGAGAGACCTCGCTCCAGAGTAAGTCCCTCGTCAAGAGTAAAAACCAAAGAAAAGCTTCACATTTAAAAATGCCTTACTGCAGAACGCGATCGCGGGGCGTGCAAGCCAACGCCCAGCTCTGCGGGGCGTGCAAGCCAACGCCCAGCTCTGCGGGGCTGCCTTAGGACACAGAAACAAAGCAGGAACACAGCTGTGAAATCTTAAATACTTGAGTAAAAATGTAAAAGGGCATGTACACCGACACCAACTCATAGACCTTAAAATACATAAACACAGGAAAAGGAACAAGCGATAAAGAAAACAGTAGCTTTAACATATTCAAATGAAGAATGTTTTTAATTACTTGATTGCTGATACAGCAGCTTTTCAATTAAAAAATGAGACAATTCCCCTTTGGTGCCTTTCGAAGTTTCTTTTTTAAGCCGTATGCCTACGTGATCCACTGAACAGAATAATTTTAAACAAAACCGTGTGAGTAGGGCCAAGTGGCGGAGCCGCACCATCGGGACCCCGGGGAAGGCCGCTCTCGGTTCTTTCATAGCCCTGTACAATGCTGCTTGACCCGAATGCTACAAGGCAGCACTGTAAAGAAGCTGAAAGCACAAAGACAGCTCGCTCGGCGGCAGCGCTCCTCAGCTGCCCGCTCTTCTCCGGGCGACTCCTCTCGATGCCTTCCCAGGGACTCCGGGGCTCGACGGGGCTGCTGCCCCCCACCCCCACCCCACCCCACCCCACCAGCCACAGCCCCCGTCACCTGGATTCTGACTGACTTCCAACCTTCCTACTTTCTCCTCAAAACACGTGATTTTACTTCTACTTAGTGGCAATATTTATCTTCACTTAGAGAAAAACATTAGTTAAGATCAGTCTACACTTGAAGAGCTTCAACACAGCCAATGAAACAACTCCGCCCCATACAACTATACTAGGGCACTGTGCAGACAAGACAGACGTTGTACACAAGGTGAGGCCCACTCAGTAAGTTCTGTATTCTCCTCTGAGCATCTAAAGAAATCCAGGTCCCCTTACTTCATTAAGGGCACACATTCTTGCTATTGAGCCAATGTTGTTGGTGATGGTGACCAACGTCGCTCTGGCGAGGTCCTCTTTACTGACAGCCTCTCGCTTCTCCTTGCTTATCATGTTTCCAAAGCTGTGAAGGAAAAAAAAAAATTCCGGCCACTGAACCAAAGGCAATACAGCCCAACAGAACTTGAAAGTTACTCAAAGATAAATGTGACTTTGAGGGCAACACTGTTCACATCTTCAAACTTTTTATTACAAAATAACAGAGCATCTGTTTAAAGAGAAATGCAACTTGGAAAAAATCCTTCAAGCATTCTGAATAAGCCAATGCCTTTCCCCTCAGCTCCCAGTGACAACCAGCATCAAGAACAGATCTTTGTACATCCAGTTAGGATCTCATCAGAGCTACTTTAGGACACACTGTGCCTTCTGCAGCCAGGGGACAGCTCCAGGGAGCCAACTCTATTAGCAATTCAGTCCCATTCAGCCCCAACCACTCCACTCAGCTGGTCATGTTCGAAACTGGGAAACTGCTTTATCAGACTAAAGCGAAGCGCAGGCAGTGGCAGCCCAGAGTAAACCATGCAAGAGTGTCAGACTTCCCTAGAAGATAAAGTACTTGTACAGCAGAATTGCTACAGTAATAACTGATCAAAACTGTGTTTGGTCAAACCCAATCAGAAAAGGAAGTGATTAACAGTGCACAAAAACTACAAACTCAAAACATGAAATGCGCAGCATTTACAAAGTCCCTGAAATTAGCTCACAAGCACGTATATATTTGGTCCTTTACTATTATTTTAAAAACTCATGTGGAGGCGCCTGGGTGGCCCGGTCGGTTAAGCACGGTTCATGATCTAGCAGTTCGTGAGTTCAAGCCCCACGTTGGGCCCTGTGCTGACAGCAGAGCCTCGAGCCTGCTTCAGATCCTGTTGTCTCCCTCTCTCTTTGCCCCTCCCCTGCTAACACTGTATCTCTCTCTCTCAAAAATAAACATTTAAAAAAAATTTTTTAATGTGTCCCAATACTAAAAAAAAAAGTTTCTAAATAACTGAAAACAAAAGTTTTAAAAATTCCATTTACAGTAGCATCAAATAGAAATGCTTAAAAATATATTTAACAAAAGTAGCATAACAACTGTACACTGAAAACTACAACTATAACTTCAGCAAAAGAAAGCAAAACTCTAGGGGCAACTGGGTGGCTCAGTTACGCACCTGACTCGATTTCAGCTCAAGTCATGATCTCACAGTTTGTAAGATCAACCCCACTATCAGTGCAGAGCCTGTTTGAGATTCTCTCCCTCTCTCTCTGCCCCTCCCCTCAAAATAAATAAACATTTTTTTTTTAATTTTTCTTTTAATTAAAAAAAAATTTATTTCTGAGAGAGAGAGAGAGACAGCGTGAGCAGGGGAGGGTCAGAGAGAGAGGGAGTCACAGACTGAAACAGGCTCCAGGCTCTGAGCTGGCAGTCAGCACAGAGCCCGACGCGGGGCCCGAACCCAAGAACCGCGAGATCATGACCTAAGCGAAAGTCGGACGCTCAACCGACTAAGCCACCCAGGCGCCCCTAAATAAACATTTTTTAAAAACAAAGCAAAACTCTAAATAAACAGAAAGACACTTTATCTTGGATCAGAAGACTTGACAATGTTAGGATGGCAATACTATCCCAACGTAACCTACAAATTCAACATGATCCCTATCAAAATCCTTGATGCCTTTTTTGCAGCCACTGACAAGGGGACACTAAAATTCATATGGAGGGGCTCGTAGGTGGCTTAGTTGGTTAAGCATCCAACTTCAGCTCGGGTCATGATCTTGCAATTCACCAGTTCAAGCCCCACGTCAGGCTCTGTGCTGACAGCTCAGAGCCCAGAGGATAAACACTGAAAACATGCTAAGTGAAAAGAAGCCAGTCACAAAAAATCTCATAATAGGACACCATTTTTTATAAAGTGTCCGGAACAAGCAAATCTACAGACAGAAAATATATGAGTGTTTACCAAGGACTGAGGTGGGGAAATGGGAAGTGACAGCTAATGGATAGAAGATTTCTTTCTGGGATGACGAAAAATGTACTGAAATTAGACTATGGTGATGACTGCACAATTGTGTAAATATACTAGAAACCACTATATTTTATACTTTAAACAGGTGACTTTATAGTACATAAATTACAGCTAGATAAAAACTGTTTAAAAGGAAGAAGATATATCCAATATTTACTATCTTATTCCTGTCTTTCATAGAACACACACGTCCCCTTACCTCGATGCCACAGCCCAGCCCGGCAGTCCAAACCGCTCATAGTCCCCTCCATAAATGTCTCGAACTAGTTTATCCACTTTGGTGCTATCTCCACGAGATGCCATTTCCAGAGCCTCTTCAAAAGTGCTGCAGCCAGTGAGAAGACAGCAGAGACCAAAAAAAGTTCCTCCTCCAAGACTGATTAAGAACAAACAACACAGTATTATAACATTTTAAAAATAAGAATCATCAACAGGAAGATGATTATTTATGAACGGAAAACCATATCCATACATCAACCCCCTCTTGCCCTAACCCAATCCTGCAGATGCCACTGGTAGACAAGTCTGTGGAAAGATAAAAACAGGGCACCTGATCTATACCTTAAAGATACATACTCATGTGAGCAATCAAGCAGAGGCAAACCACAGGCCCACCTCCCTGCCCGTGCCCCCAGGGAGTGTGGGCATCTGCTGAGTGTGAGGAGCTTTGGGCGCAGATCTGCCCACCACACCCCCAGGCCATGTTAACACCTCCTCCCTTCTTCCCTCCAAGCCCCTTGTCACCCTGGCTCATCAGTCCCCACCCCCACCCCACAAAGAACTCCTCCATTAATGTGTTTTCTCCCCCCAAATTACTCCTCCCATTCTTCAATTCACACCTGTTAAAAAACCTTGTTTATCCCAAACTCCAGCTCCTTGTTTTGCATCTAATGATCTCTAATCCTTAAATCACAACACATTCATTCTCACCTATCACCTCATCGGCCTACCCTCCTCCAATCATGCTTCTGTCACTCAGTACCTCACCTTCTAGATCTCAGACCATCTCATGGGTGTGTGAGTGTGTGTGTGCACAGTCCACATGTATGTATAAAATCCAGGCTCGTTTCAAAGCTGGGATCTTGCTTGCCTTCTGCTTACAGATGCTATCTAGTAGCTTTGGTAACTTTATGGTATATACACATCATACACTATCTGAGGGCAGACACTGCGGGCTTCAGTGAATCTGCCAATGAAATACTTTATCAAACTATGATAATGAAGTACTGAACAATACAAATTAAAGAAAAGTAAGTCAAGAAATCAGAATTTTCAAGAGAAATGTTTGCATAATTCCAGGGGGAAAAAAACACTTTTCACATAATTTTAACAGATTCTTAAAGGTTTACTTGTACGCAATACCTGAAAACTTAGTTTTAACTCATCACAATATCAAGAGCAAACAACGACCTTTATATAAAAGACCTACCTGGTACCCGTGACCCGCTTGTAATTATCTTTGGAATATACTGCTAAAATGCTAACCCCAGAGCCAATGTTCACCAGAAGCAGAGGGTATGGATTTTTCAAATCAAATGGTAACTTCTGACATTTCTCAGCATCAGCAGGGTTTTCAAAGTAATAGCACTGTGACCGTCCATTGAATCCAACTGAGTCAATGTATAAAATTCCTTTTATTAAACAATCTAGTTCATCAAGTTTGCAAAGCTGAAGGTCACCTATCTGTAATGAAATAAAAATGTATTCAGACTTTCTAACAAACCAAACAAATAAAAACTCTGCTTAAGAAGGCACCCCTCTACGTTAAACAAACCACAGAAGTGCTCACAGATGTATACTATTTGTGCAAGATTTACAGAGCAAAGCTGGAAATAACAAACATAGGGACGATCTGATTAGACAGACCTAAATACACTCCCAACTACAAACCACTGCAGCAGCCAGAGAAATGTGCCCAAAACCCAAGCAGAAAACAAGAAAACTCACAGGGACCATGAGTCAGGAGCACAGCTGAGATCACAGCCCTATCAGAAAGTGGACTCCAAGAAATTCAAGTGATTCAAACACCTGGTGACACATGACAGGAGCCACAAGGACTCAGACATCTGCCCTCCGAACAACCATCTTCAAGACTATAGAGCAGTATCAAACTAAGCCTCACTTTATTAATCAATACACATCAAAAGCCTGCAAAGGATACAATTAGAAGGTAAGGTTTTTCACTATCTAAACCAATCACAGGGCTTCAGGGTGGCTCAGTCGCACACATGTCCGACTTTGGCTCAGGTCATGATCTCGTGGTTTTAGGAGTTTGAGCCCTGTATCAGGCTCTGCTGACAGCTCAGAGCCTGCTTCAGACTTTGTGTCTTCCTCTCTCTCTGTCCCTCCCCCATTCATATGCTATCTCTCTCAAAAATAAACCTTTTTAAAAATTGTTTTAAATAAGTAAAAAATAAACGAACTATAGTCCCTAGAGGATGAGAAGATTTTAGCAGTATCAAAATTTAGAAGTGTTACCAACAAAATCCATTTAACTAACATAATTACTATTCATATTAGGGAGCAACATACAGCAATTAAGAATGACGAGGAGGGGCGCCTGGGTGGCTCAGTCGGTTGAGCGTCCGACTTTAGCCCAGGTCATTATCTCACAGTTCGTGGGTTGAAGCCCTGTGTCAGGTTCTGTGCTGAGAGCTCAGAGCCTGGAGCTTGCTTCCAATTCTGTGTCTGCCCCTCCCCTACTCACAACACTCTGTCTCTGGTCTCGGTCTCAAAAATAAACATTTAAAAAAAAATCTCGGGGCGCCTGGGTGGCTTAGTCGGTTAAGCGTCCGACTTTCGCTTAGGTCATGATCTCGCGGTTCGTGGGTTCGAGCCCCGCGTCGGGCTCTGTGCTGATTGCCAGCTCAGAGCCTGGAGCCTATTTCAAAGTCTGTATCTCCCTCTCCCTCTGACGCTCCCCTGCTCACGCTGTCTGTCTCTCTCTCCTAGAAATAAATAAAAAATATTTAAAAAAAATAAAATAAAATAAAATAAAAAAAATCTCAACTTTACTCACTGAACTGCTAACCCACGGGAATGTTTACAGGCACATACACTCCATGTATGTGACGAAGGCAAAAACTCCCTCCTAATCCCCTTACAGCACCTACTTCTGTTTACAAGCAGGTCCAGCCCTGCAAGTCCTCCCTGTTTAAGTCAACTTTCACTTGATTACATTTACACTCAATGTATTCTGATCCACAGCAAAGAGGGAAATTAACTGGTAACTTCATCTTAATCCTTAATCCCTAAGTAAGAATATTAAATTACTCCTCTGACCAAACCCAAGCCTTTGAAGTATTCATCGCTGTCCCTATGGCACCTGCTCATGCCCTCTCGGTTGAGATGAATTCAAAACCAACTTCCTGACACAATAATCTGAAGTGCCAGCATTGCCTCTTCTGCATTTTCATTTCACCATTTTACACTGGTGGCCTACTGGAGCCCAAACATTTGGTCTCCCTTTTCTTTCTACCGTTTTATCCCCCTTTTCCTTCCTATAATTCCTGTCATCCTGAAGTGTCCTGCTAAGAATCCCAGCCCCTACATGATACAATTAGACAAATGAATGCATAGCTAATTTCATAATGCAAGGTATAATGTATGTGTTACACCAACAAACAAACCCAGTATGTTAGGCAATTCAATTCACACTAAAAGTCAACAAAGGAGGGGCGCCTGGGTGGTTCAGTCGGTTAAGCGCCAACTCTTGATTTCGACTCAGGTCATGATTTCAGTCATGAGATTGGTTGTGAGACAGAGCCCCATATCGGGCTCCACACTGAGCATGGAGCCTACTGAAGATTCTCTCCCTCTGCCCCTCTCCCCAGCTTACACTCTCTCTTGCTCTCAAATTTAAAAAAAAAGGGGGGAGGACAACAAAATAAACTCGGTATTTTAAAAAATATTTCACTGTGGTTTAATAAACACTAGTTATTCCTAATGCACAAAAAGCATTTGATAGGCATTTCATTTTCCCACAATTTTCAAGGACAGCACCGGTGCATTCAAATGAGAAACCCCAGCAGCCTAAGAACCGATTTCTGAGGTCTAAAAACCACTTTGCACCCTCCCCTTGAATTACCACACAATGCTGAACCTCTGGAAATAGCCTGAATGGTTTTCAAATACGTTCCAAAGGGCATCTCTACAGGGTCCTGCAAAAGGTTTTCTCCTTTACCAATCAGTTATGATCCAGAGTCCACTGTGAGGCTTCCACAAAGGAAGGGAACCGTCTCTACTCCAGCTAAACTTCTTCTTTCCTCACTGCTGGAAGAGAAACCACTGAAAACCAACAACCAAAAGAAATTCAGGCAAAGAATATAAAAACTTGATAAAAATTCACATCAATTCTATATTATGACTATGGTCAGTAATAGGAGAAAGTCAGGAGACAGAAGACAAAGAAAGAGGATGTCACAAACCACACAATGACACATGGAGAAAAAAAGAAAGATAAAATAACAAAGGCAAAGGCAGAATCTCCGGAATAACATTCTCATTAGTGACATTAAAAACACAGTCACTGGGGGTGCCTGGGTGGCTCAGTCGGTTAAGCATCCAACTTCAACTTAGATCATGATCTTGTGGTCCATAAGTTCAGGCCCCGTGTCGGGCTCTGTGTTGACAGCTCAGAGCCTGAAGCCTGCTTCAGATTCTGTATGTCTATCTCTCTCTCTCTCTCTGCCCCTCCTCCACTCATGCCTCAGTCTCTCTCAAAAAGTAAGTAAACATTTAAAAAAAAAAAAACCATAGTTACTGAAGATATTTTCAATCTATACTGACCCTGAAGGTCAGAGTCTTGGCCAATTCACTTGTCCACTCTCCCACCTACTCATCCGGTCATCCTCCCTCACTGGACCTAGCCTCAAGGCCTTGCACACAGTGTTCACTAAATGAAAACAAAGTCAGGCACCCACCGGGCACTCCCAGCATCCAGACATGATTCAAAGACACATAACAGGAGGGCACAACAGTACACATCAGAAGGCATTTGGAGAGAAAAGGTCTGCTGTTAACCATTTCCGACTAGCCCTGACACCAAAAAGCCACTGCTTTAGACCAGAGTTCCTTGTTTTTATAATCGTAAACTTGCCAAGAAACAACTAAGGGGGACAGGAGAAATTATGTGGTAGAGAAAACCAGAAACAATTTAGGGGGGCGCAAGTGAGCAAGGGGTGGGGAGAAAGGGAGAGAGAGGCTCCAACAAGGGAGAGAGAAAGAAAAAGAGAAACAGGGCTCATCCGAAGCAGGGCACAAGCTCACCCAAAGCAGGGCATAAACTCACCCGAAGCAAGACTCGAGCTCACCCAATGTGGGACTTGAACTCATGAACTGTAAGATCATGACCTTAGCCCAAATCAGATGCTTAACGACTGAGTCACCCAGGCGCCCCTGGAAAAAATTTTATGACATGAAATGACATTTTTTCAAAGAGGCTCCATGCCCAATGTAGGGCTTGAACTCATGACCCTGAGATCAAGAGCCACATGTTACACCAATTCAGACAGCCAAGTGCCCCAAAATTATTTTTCAATCTCATCGTTCAAGATTTAGTATTTTTTAATTTAGAGTGAGTGAATGAGTGAGTGAGTGGGGGAGAAGGAAAGCAGGGAAAAGGGGAAGGGAGAAAGAGAGAGAAAATGAGAATCCCAAATGGGCTCCACGCTAAGCATGGAGCCTGACATGGGCTTGATCCCACAACCCTGGGATCGTGATCTAAGACTAAATCAAGAGTCAGACACTCAACCAATTGAGCCACTCGGGTGCCAAGTTTTTTTTAACAGGAATTTCTTTTCACAACATGGGGGCTCGAACTCATGACCCCAAGATCAAGAGTCACACACTCTTCCAAATGAGCCAGCCAGATGCCCCTCATAGTTGCAGATCTAATGACATGCTCCCTGTAGGTAGTTCCTCAGTGTACTTATCACAGCTTTATTATAATCTCTAGATGGCAACTCCGGACTACCATTCATTTACATCTACTCTTACTTCCATTAGAATTGGAAATGATTCCACCACTTGCCACTGGTATTATTTTTAATGATCAGATTACCATAAATTGTATGTAAGCTAAAAACAAAAAATACATACTGTGAGAAAATCCTGCTCAAATTTGTACGCTCCACCTCCAGTGGCACAAAAGACAGTGTGGAGACTCGAGAAGTTTTTATCTCTGCCCATCTGAATAAAAGCAGGCATGTCATGAGTGGGGAAGCGTATAAAGTGCAGATTGCCCTTGCGTCCACACAGAGTCAGGTCCTTCAGCTCCAGGTGCACGTCCCGAATACCTGTGGACCCATAAGCCACATTGGAGGTCAAGTACTTCCGAATGCTTTTAAGACTTTCCACCTCTTCCTCCTCTTCTTCAGCAGTGATGTCTTTGGGTTCAAAATAAACCAGCTTAACCAGGGTTCCACCAATATCCAAGCCAAACCATGGAAAAACTAAATGGGAAAGAAAAAAAATAAAAGTCAGAACAACTTTTTTCTGAAAACTAAACATACACATACTAGATTAGCAATTTATTCATACCTGAGGTTTCCAAGGACTAGAGAAACCGAAAGGGGGTTGGGAAAAGAAACAGGATTCTGTCTGATTTGGAAAAATCTTAAAAAAAAGAAAAAGTCACAAAGATTAAGAAAAATATCAGAAATATCAGAATATTGAGTCAACCCACCCCCTTGCACAAATAAGCCCAAACTATACAATGAAATATTAAAAAATAACAAAATGACTACCCATGAACCTCAACTTAAAAAAAAAGAAAAAAAGGATTCAGAATGAAAATCTACATCCTTCCCCTTGGCTCAAAGAAGAAACACTGAAACTCTTCAGAGCTCTGGTTCATATGCAAACTAGAAATAGAGGAAATTCACAACCCTATGTAACATGTAAGCTCCAGTGGTCAATTTTTCTCTCAAAACCTGATGTCCCAAAAATAAAAGATTTCAAAGGACTCTAATGTAACATATTTCAGAGTTAATATCTGTTCCCAAAAAAATCCTTCCCAACAAATGGCTTCAGATCGAATCAAAACAGATTGCACAGACATACATGCCTTGCCTTCCAAGCTTAGATCACAGAAATGACTACAGATCTGGATTTATTGATGTATTATTTTCCAAAACAATTCTGGGAAACAAGAAATTATAGAATCAGAAGAACTTAGTTGATTAGGGGCAATAATTGTCCTGAATCCTTAAAAGAAGAATGTTATAAAAACTGGAAATAAAGAAACAGTGCCTGGTGGCTCAATTAGCTGGACATCCAACTCACGATCCTAGGGACTGAGCCCTTTGAGTCCACATTGAGCGGGGAGCCTGACTGAGATTCTCTTTCTCTCCCTCTACCCCCTCCCCAACTCAAGCTCTCAAAATCTCTCTAAAATAAAATAAAGCAAAATGAAAATTGGGAGCAGCTATGAAGACTGGGAGAACACAGGGGTGCTCCATCAAGCTATACACAGGGTTGGCTGTCACGGGGAAACAGGAAAAGACAGGGTGATCTGGTGGGGAATGCATTTGGCACAACTGAACAGACCAACAACTTCCCTCTCCTGAGAACCACTCCCCACACCTCCACCCCTCCAGAGGCAAAGTCTTCATTAATCACAAGCATTTAGACTTAAGTGCCAAAGACTCAAGATGGCACCCAAGCAGCTACTATCATCCAGAAGAAATGAGGAGACATGTATCTGGACATATATTCCTACATGTCCAGGAATACAACCCATCCTGATAAACTGGAAAGGAGATACTGCATCCACTGACAGAAAAGCAATCCTCAAAATAGAGATGATCACTTTACAAATTAGAATCACCAAAAGGGAAATCACATCACAAAAACGAGAAACATCTTTAGAAAGAGTTTCAGAAACAAATAGGAGATTTAAAAAGAATCATAAATATCTTCAGAGGTAAAATGAGATCTCATCCATGAAAAATAAATAAGCTACCACAAGGAAAAATCAGAAATTGAGAAATGATTGCCACTGTGGTTGTGACCACAAGAATCTACACGTGATAAAATTATATAGAACTAAATATGCATACACAAAAGAATTTATGTAAAACTGGTGAAGTCTAAGTCAAGTCTGTGAACTGTATCAATGTTAATTTCTTAGTTGGGGGTTGTGAAGCTTTGGAAACCAAGAAAAAGGAGGAAGGGGACAAACTACTATATACTTAACAGAGATTAATCTCAAAAACGGGCTGAGTAAAAGAAGCCTCACACAAAGGCTACATAGTATATGATTCCACGTATATGAAACTCCAGAAAATGCAAAACAATCATTTCTGCATCTGATAGGAAATACATACATATATATGTATTTATATATATATAATACATATGTATATAATTGTCACATTAGCTAGCTAACATACAGTATGTACAGTGTGCTCTTGGCTTTGGGACTAGATTCCGTGATTCATCACTTACATACAACACCCAGTGCTCATCCCAACAAGTGCTCAATGCCCATCACCCATTTTCCCAGCACCCCAGCTCCCCAACTCCCTTACACCCTCAGTTGTTCTCTGTATTTAAAAGTCTCTATGGTTTGCCTCTGTTTGTAACTATATTTTTTTCTTTCCCTTCCCCAATAGTCTTCTGTTAAGTTTCTCAACTTCTACATGAGTGAAAACACAGGATATCTATCTTTCTCTGACTTGTTTCACTTAGCAAAATACCCTCCAGTTCCATCCACATTGTTGCAAATGGCACAATTTCATTCTTTTTCATTGCTGAGTAGTACTCCATTGTTTGTATACATATGTGCATACATATAAATGCATGTATACCACATCTTCTTTATCCATTCATCAGTTGATGGACATTTTGTAGTAACCCAAATCTTGACTGTTGGAAGTGAGGGGAGCGAGCTACAGGGTTTCTATATACCTGTCAAAATGCATGGAATTAAACACTTTTAGTTTAAAAGCAGGTGCTTTTATGAAAATTATACCTCAATAAAGAGTTTTATAAAAGAAAAAAAGGAAAAATTGATTTCCAAAATAAAGCTCACTACATGTATTTAACAGCAAAATGGACAAAGAAAAAAAATGGAAAACAAAACTAAGAAATTCTCCCCAAATCCTCTCAGGTATGAAGGAAAAGTATATATAAAAATACAGAACCATAAAGTCCAACATCTACCTTCTGTGAGTCTGAGAAATTTCCTGGGGAAAGCAGAGGAGGAAAGACTAAGTCATCAGGTTCACTAAGTGTCAAGCGGAACCAATTAGTGGCAAACAGACAGACTTAGACACATCCTATTGAAATGTCAAGAAATCCTAAAAGCTTCCAAAGATAAAAAAAAAAAAAAACAATTCCTACAAAGATACATAAATTACATAAAGGTGAAGTAGATTTTTTTCATCAGTAACATAGATGCTAGAAGACAGAAGAACACTGGCTTCAAAGTTATAAGGAAAAAGATTTTGAAACATATCCAGCCAAATCAGCTTTCAAGGAGGAGTCCAAAAGAAATTTTCACACGTTTACTACTCAAAGACCTTCTCTGAAATAATTAGTAAATGTATTCCAATATAATTTTTAAAGCATCCAAGAAGATACGTGCTTTAAGTAGATTTCCAATAATCAGCAAAGGAAACAATGCATGTGACCTGAAAAATCAGCAATCTGGAACTAAAATACATGATTTCAACACAGGAAGTTAAAAAGGGAAGAAAAAGGAGACAAGCAAAGCAAACAGTAGTTCTGTCTTGAAGGGAAAAGAAGATACAAATTTTGATTAATTCTAAATAAGAAAAAAGTGATGGTGTTTAAACACATAACGGGGTACCTGCGTGGCTCAGTCAGCTAAGCGTCCAATCCCATGATCTCATGGTTCATGGGTTCGAGCCCCGCATGGGGGGGTGGGGCGCTCAGAGCCTGGAGCCTATCTTCAGACTCTGTGTCTCCCTCTCTCTCTGACCCTCCCCTACTCATGCTGTCTCTATCTCTCTCTCAAAAATAAATAAAACATTAAAATTTTAATGCTTAAAAAATTTACAGGTAACTAAAAGAAAATAAACATATGACCTTCAAACAACTATGGAAAAAAATCAGTTCAAAAACAAAGAAAAAATATGGCAAATACAAAACAAAAAAAAGGGCAGGAATGAACACAAACGTATCAATAATCACAAATAGGTCAAATTACCCTTCAAATTAAGTCGATTATATGCTTATATACTATATATACATTTAAGATAACACAAGTAGACTGAAGGTAAATACATGGCAAAACATATACAAGAGAGTCCTATCATAAAGAGTTGGATGCTTTAAGATGAAAACAACATTCAGTCAAAAGTACTCAAATCAAAATCTTAAACACCTCACTGGAGACTGATATACCAGACACAGCAGGTGATACACTTAGGAACCATGGTATAGTTAAAGTCCAACATTATGTATCAAGACCAGCAATGCATTTAACAGAGACTACTTGGCTCACATGAGAGGTGCCCCTCCAAACAGTTAACTACCAAGGAAATAGGATTCACAACTCCCATCTTACACTCACTTGCCATCACATATTCACTGACCAATTTGGTGGGTAGAATCACTGGCACCATTTATCTAACTGACTTGAAACATTTCTATACTTGAATTTGGGGAGGCAAAATGAATGCCTGAACAATGCTACTCCGCTGTATTAAGCAAATGTTAATAACAGAAATTAAGTACAATACTAGCAGACTAAATAAAATTCAAACAAAAACCATTAAAAGGGAATAAAAAGAAATTATATAATGAGCATAAAAGAAGGAAAACTGGTGATCCTAACAAATGCTTCAAAAATATTAAAAACAAGGAGAAACTGACAAATATATACAACGTGATAATGACACAGGTATCAGAAATTTGTACTCACACACACACACAATAACAGTATACAGAAGATTTGAATACTAAGCTAATAAGGTGAATCTATGAAACATAAATAACTCTACCAAAAAAACAAATACACCTTCCTTTTAAATATCTACAAACCATACAAATTAACTGCACAAGCTTAAAGAACCTCAAATTCCAAAGAACAAAAACAAACCACATTCACTTTCCACAATAACTCAACATTATAAACTAATCCAACAAAACAAAGAAATAAATCTGTCCACCTAAGAATTTTTAAATTTTTTTTTTAATGTTTTTTTCATTTATTTCTATGAGAGAGAGAGAGACAGCCTGAGCAGGGGAGGGTCAGAGAGAGAGGGAGTCACAGACTGAAACAGGCTCCAGGCTCTGAGCAGGCAGTCAGCACAGAGCCCGACGCGGGGCTCGAACCCACGAACCGCGAGATCATGACCTAAGCGAAAGTCGGACGCTTAACCGACTAAGCCACCCAGGCGCCCCATGTCCACCTAAGAATTTTTAAACCCTTTTAATTCAAATTAAAGAGGAAATCAAAACAAAATTTATTTTTAGATGAATG